ATGTAAAACATTTTAAAGAAGTTGTTCTTTAAAAATAGGTTCATTCATCTACTCTTGTATCTTATCATCTCTATATCTTATATATCTATATCATATCCCCTTTTCTTTTTTAGAAAGATCGCATTTATAATCAACTTGTTTTAAATAACAACATTGAAGATCCAATAGTGGATATTCAAACAGCAATTTATCGAGACCAGTTCCTCACAGCCCAATTAAGCCTCCAGACATATCAGGGTGTGCATGGGAGTTATGAAATGACAAGCTGAGACCATAGATTGTTGGTACCCTATGAGTACTCAAAGAAAGATATCAGGAATACTTCTGTAAAGACCACAGCACTTTTGGAAGCAAAAATGAATGGATGCAGTGAAACAATTGCTGAAATCATAGGATAAAAGTCTCTGACTTTGGGTCCATCTGTCATTGTTCTGAAATGGATCTGAATGTGGATTTTCTATATTTAAATGCTATGGTTCTCAATTGTCCTGTGGACAGAAATCAAACTATAAGGTGAAATTAGACTTGAAATGTTAAAGCCTGCTAAGGGTTCATTTTTGTAATTGCCTAATCTTGCAAAACTTTAACAAAACTTCTTGGCATGTTTCTGTAAATTAAAGCTTGCTTTGTACCAGATGACCTTCTGTTGGCCTGAAGATAGAGTGCAATGTTAGTTACTCTGCCTTTAAAATCCCCTGATTGAGGTGTCTTGGGGCTGCCTTTGAGAGCCCCAAAACTCAGGTACATACCTGGTGTCAGTATGTAAATAAAAGCCTTTGCTTTCTTAAAATTTATTAATGATCAGAGAAGTGAATCTCTGAATGAGCCCACACCCATAACACCATGATCCTGTAAGTAATCATAATAACCTTCTTAGTTCAATAAATTAGACCTGTCTGGATCATTTATTGGATCTGTCATTGGTGCCCTATCTGCTAGAATCAAGAGATGAATGCTCATGTTTTATCAGAAAGATTCACACAATCTTTGTACACACTAACAATCTTAAATATGTTTTTGGGTGCTGTGATAAAGTCCCATGATCAAAAGCTAAGTAAAGGGTTTATTTGGCTAATATTTCTTAATATCCCAGGTCACAATCCATTGAGGGAAGCCAAGGCAGGAACATGGATGAATGAACTGAAACAGATACATTGAAGATTCTCCACATACTTGAATGTTCGTAATGGCTTGGTCAGCCTGCATTACTCTGCAATTTATTATGACCTGGCAAGAAGTGAAACTATTCACAGAGGTCTAGGCCTTCCCACATCAATCTTGAAACAAGAAAATTCCCAACAGATTTCCTCAGGCAATTTGTGTGGATGCATCTTCTCAATTGATAGGCCCAAATGAATATATCTTGTTTCAAACTGACAAAAGTAAATAAGTAAATAACTGGGACACTACC